AATATGCTCTTCTGGACATCGGATCAGTTGATGACTCCGAGTCTGATGAAGACTCATATGGGATCCACGGTGTGCAGGTTGGTGGCTGTCGTTTGCCCAATGGTGTAGCAGTATAGGCCACTTGACAAGTAGCTGCTCACCTGTTCCGGCTCAGTGCAGCTAGAAACTATAGTGGCCTTAATGCACATGCTTGCTCAGAAGCAAGTCAAGCGGGGCTAGCCCTCTCTACGGCCTGTCAGCCTTGAAGAGGCCGGCGTCGAATTTCGACTACTTTGAGCATTTCCCAAAGAGAATTAGAGTCGCATAAGATACGGGCGGTTGCTACAAATTTTGCATTACTAGGTGAGCTTAGTAAGCAGAGTGGTTGTATGCGTATCGCTGGGTCAATTTAGCGCGGTAATTTATATACCTACTCGAAGCGATGGTTTGGTTCCTTTTTTTCTCCTGTATCGATACCCTTCAACTTTTGTACTTCCCCTGGCGAGACTCTGCGCTTAATAATAGATTGTGATAGCCTTTCCAGTCTCTCAGCTCCTGCCAAGTGTGGCATGGAGACTTGTTTGCTGTCATGTCAAGGATGCCCACTAATGCAGCTCGTTTAGTTTTAGCAACGATTAGCTCTGCATGAGTTGCATGTCACTGCAGCCGCTGTATTATCGTGCATATCCCCGCCTGGCTACGATAAAGCACGCGAAGCTGAACTTGAACATCACATCACTTTGGCGTCGGATCAGAACACCAGAAAACAGGAAGGAACATGGCGCCAATTGTCAAAGTAGCAGTCATTCAACTGTATCCAAAAGTATGTGCTCGTTACCCCACCTTACCCCACCCCGCCTCCACCTCCACTTCACCTTTGATCGTGTTATGCACAACGCATTGCACGGGTACTGTGGCTGACCTTGGTAGCCTCTGCAACCCGAGCACAATTTCAACAAAGCAGAAGCACTTATCCGCTCTGCAGCCGCCCAGGGCGCGGAGCTTGCCGTCTTGCCTGAATACCACCTGACCAACTGGAAGCCCAAGGATCCAGAGTTTCTGGCTGTGGTGGAAAGGTGCTCGGACTATGTGAAGAAATACCAACAGCTCGCCAAAGAATGTGGAATATGTGAGTTGGCGAGACACTTTGATTGAGTCATTGGCTGCAGAGACTACAGGTCACTAACAAAATGATCCCAAAAGGCATTGTCCCAGGCACGATTGTAGAGAGCCACAAGGAGAATGAAAAAGAGCAGGACAGATTGCTGAACGTATGTTACTTTATCAACCAACAGGGTAACATTATCGGCAAATACATCAAGAAGAACCTCTGGGGCCCTGAGCGTGACCATCTCACAGGCTCGGGCCGCGACTTGCATGAGGTGTTTGATACACCCGTGGGCAAAGTAGGATTACTGATATGCTGGGATCTTGCCTTTCCCGAGGCATTCCGCGAGCTTATCGCTCAGGGCGCAAAGATCATCATCATCCCTACTTTCTGGACGCTGAATGATTGTAATGAGGCGGGACTCCAGCAGAACCCTGCGGCCGAGGCGCTCTTCCTCAATTCGATACTCACCGCTCGGGCGTTTGAGAATACGTGCGCCATTATTTTTGCGAATGCGGGAGGACCTCCGGGCAAGGGGTATGCTGGGCTGAGCCAAGTGACTGTGCCGTTTGTAGGCCCGCTGACAAAGCTGGGAGGCGCCGCAGAGGGCATGAGTGTTGTTGACATTGACATGCAAGTGCTAGAAGATGCGGAGGCCAATTACCAAGTTAGGGCTGATTTGGCAAAGGATGATTGGCACTATGATTACAGACATGGCAAGGGACCTCTGGGTCGAGGCAAGGAGAGGCTGTAAAAGTCTAGCTCGACTGCGGTATTATTGATGTATGTTTTGATTTGCTTTAAGTAGCTCTTATATACATGCTTATCAGAAGCTTGTCAAATTGAAGATCAAGGGAACATCAAAAAAGACGAGAAAAAAACACAAGGACTCGCGCAAACGCCTAGATCGCCTGTACCCATGGTATATTCCACAAACTGGTAACTCTAACATGGGGTTGTCGTCGCACGCAGGGCTAACCCCGTTGACAGCCAGGGTCGTCCATTACAATGTGGCTTCAGCCTGGGGTGGAAGCGCTGTCTTCGCTGCTGTTGCTGGAAGGGTCGCTCATTAGGCCGTAGCCCACGCTGTGTGTGGTCGAGCCGGCCCGATCTGTCGTCCAGGTCTCGCCAATGACTATGACCCTCGTCTTGCCGCCTTCCAAAAAGTTGGCCTCGTCCTTGGTTAACACGGCGGAAATCTCTTTTGAGTAGACACTGCGGTAGAAGTCGAGAAAGTGGGCCTCGTCCTCGAAGACCATGTCGGAAATGCAGTCGAAGTCAAATTCTTCGTTGAGCACGCCCCTCAGAAGCAGCGGGGGGCGGTCAACGTTGGCAGGGCCGCCAAAGCCCTTCCGGACAATCCGGGCTAGGTAGCGACGGTTGAAGGTGATGGGCCAGCAGTGACTGAGCAGCGAATAGGCTAATGGAATGTGCGTGTTTTCGTAGTGGTCTCTGAACTGCTCCGACGTGATGTGGCTGTTGCGCGTGACGAAGAGGACAACGGTGTACGTCATACTGGACGGTCCGGGAGCAAGGGACTGTTTCTTATGGATATGCGTTCTTCTGGAAATTGCTTGTTTTTGGCGGAGAGAATGGGAGGCCCGATGACAGGGGAGCGGGAGGTCTTGTAGTAGTTGAAGTGAGCGGCAACAGTGTGTGGACTCGGTCGGCCTGCCTGCTATGTACGTACATACATATGTAGGGAGGATGCACCCGCCGCGCACCGCCCACGACGGCCCTGTGTGGCTTATATGGACGCAGGCGCGCCAGCTCAGTGGATGCGAGGCTATACCTAGGGGCGGGCTACGGACTTGAGGCCGTCTGGTGCCATGGGGTGGCTTTTTTTGTTTTTTGGCGTTAGCTGTCTTGCATGCGATGCCAGAGGGAACCCAGGGGCGAGTCAGGCCCGCAGAAGAGCCGGCGCCGGTGCAGCTGCCTATCGATAACGCCCGCCACTAGCACCAACGCCCGCCCACAGAACAGAGAGGGCCAAAATTGCGCCAGGCCAAGGTGGGGGGGACAGAGGCCCTCCTCCAAGACGACGACGACGACGACGATACCATCAGCCCGCCCAGCCCACCACCACCACCCGCCGAGCCCGCCCCCTCTCCCTCTCCAACCATGAGTCTGCGCGAGCGAGTCCCGCCGCAGTACCACAATGGCGAGCCCGCCCGCCGCGCCCCCGACGACGACTCGGACGTCGAGGAGGAGGCCATGGCCAACGACTACCGCGAGCAGGTCCAGTACGATGGCATGGAGGATCTCGACCGCATGCCCTCCATGACCGGCAACCACGACATCCACGCCCAGCTGCAGGCCGCCGCCACGCCCCTCGAGTTCCAGGCCACGCTCGAGACCAAGTTTGCCAGCTACGACAGCTACTGCAACCTCTTCCACTACATCCTCAACTCCGAGGGCCCCGTCGACCTCGAGGTTCCCAACTATTACTGGGCCTGGGACGTCATTGACGAGTTCATCTACCAGTTCAACAGCTTCTGCAGCTACCGCCAGCGCGTGGCCCAGAAGAGCGACAATGAGGAGGAGATTGCCCTGCTGCGCGAGAACCCAAACACCTGGGGCTGCTACAGCGTCCTCAACGTCCTCTACTCGCTCATCCAGCGCTCTCAGATCAGCGAGCAGCTTGCTGCCATGAAGCGCGGCGAGGATGCCAGCCTGTATGCCGGCGAGTACGGCAACCGCCCGCTGTACAAGATGCTGGGCTACTTCTCCATCATTGGTCTCCTCCGCGTCCACTGCCTGTTGGGTGATTTCAGCCTGGCGCTCAAGACGCTCGACGACATTGAGCTGAACAAGAAGGCCATGTTTGCCCGTGTCATGGCCGCCCACTTCACCACATACTACTACGTCGGATTCTCGTACATGATGATGCGCCGCTACTCGGACGCTATCCGCATGTTCAGCCACATCCTCGTCTACGTCTCGCGCACAAAGAACTTCCAGAAGAACGCCCAGTACGACTCCATTACCAAGAAGAACGACCAAATGTACGCCCTCGTCGCCATCTGCGTCGCCTTCCAACCCACCCGCCTCGACGACACCATCCACACTGCGCTGAGGGAAAAGTACGGCGAGCAGTTCAACAGGCTACAGCGCGGCGGCCCCGAATCGCTTCCCCTGTTCGAGGAGCTCTTCCGCACCGCCTGCCCCAAGTTCATCAGCCCCACGCCTCCCGACTTTGACAACCCAGAGATCAACATCGACCCCGTTGAGCACCACCTGCGCATCTTCATGGACGAGGTCAAGAACAACATGATGTCGCCCACAGTCAAGAGCTACCTCAAGCTCTACACCACCATGGATCTTAAGAAGCTGGCTGGCTTCCTAGAGGTTGAGCCGGAGAAGCTGCGGTGCTGGTTGCTTGTCAACAAGCAGAGGAGCAGGCAAATACGGTGGGCCGAGGGCGGTCTCCTGGATGGCGATGTTATCCAGGCCAGTGACCTCGACTACGCCATGGAGGGTGTAAGTAGATGCTGTTTTGAAATAAACAATGACAATGCTAACAAGAAACAGGATTTGATCCACGTTTCCGAGGCCAAGGTCGGCAGGAGGCTCGTAGACTGGTACCTCCGCAATTTGGCGAGGACGTACTAGGAAGGGTGGGAGAGATTTTAGACATGAAATATTCAGATTTCGAAACCTGTTCAATAGAGCATTGCGACTTGGAGTTGGAGGGTTTCACGGCGTGCACATTTCAAAAAGCAGGATTTTGTTTTTGCGAGATGCGGAATACGCTCTGGCAACGGGGAGACGGAATTGGCTCCAGGTTGTAGGGTATCCCATGGCGGGATGACGGTGCCCGCCCGCGTGTGCTGGTCGGGCCGATGGAAGGAAATGACTACATCTAGGTAGAGAAGTAGGCGAGTACCGAGACAGATGAATACCAAACAAGCGTTTATGATTGCAATGCGCGTCTGGTGGGATTGGGATTGGGCATGAAATTGCGGTGGCTTTGGTTGGAGAAGCAGAAGGGTCGCAACAACATGACGTGCCGAATTGTGTCGGACTGCGCAATGGCTTGCAGCGGGGGATGGGTGCTAGCGTGCTGGGTAAAGAGCATTTGCATCTGAGCAGGCATCGCTTCTACTCGACCAACCTCAGCCAAACAAGATCGACGAGCAGGCACCGCGTAAAACAAACGTGCCAGAAGCACGCACGTCGGAAAGAACATGGGGATCAAGTGAAGCTCCTACCCCCGCCCACGCCGCCCATGGCCTTTTTCCATTGCCCGATGCGCCTGGCACCTGGCTAACAACGACCCTCTGTCATCACGATCGCCCCTGTGCACACCGACTCGAGATCGACTCCCTTTTTCAGTCGACCGCCTGCCCTTCTGGACAGCTGCTGCATTGTTATCCACCTTGCTTGTGACCACGGCGGGGTAAATCAATCAAGACACCACCTCTCTCCACTCTTCGACCAAAGCAACCGCACCACACGCGCCGTGTGAGCCTCCACTATCCACAATGGCCCTCGACTCAACCACGGTGCCTGGAGCCTCGCCCACGAGCAATCCGTCAAACACACAACCAGCCTCGGGCTCGCTCTCCCGCCAGACATCTACCCCAGCTTCTCGACGAGCCTCTCAGATATCCCCCATGGGTCCTCCACCGCTCCCTCTGGCATCTCCAGGAGGCACGATCCCGACATCTTCGCACCCACACACCCACGCCTTTCCACCCCTCAGCCCAGGACCAACCAGCTACATGCACCCAACCGCCGCCGACTCGGACACCTCGAGCGTCCCCATACGCCACCCACGCCCCATGACTGCCGCAGAACTGCACCTCGAACTCGAAAAAGAACAAGAAGCAGTCGTCAACCGCCTCACGCGCGAACTCTCCGCTCTCCGCGCCCACTCGGCCTCGGTCGCCTCGACAACCTCCTTATCCAGCAGCGCCGCCGACTCGTCCATCGCACACGTCGACGGCCTCGTCACCCCGGGCTCCATGCACCCTACCTCGTCGCGCCGCCACCGCAGCTCGTCGAGCGTGTCGCGCGGCGCAAATCATACAGCTGCCGCGCACCGGTATTCGGTTTCGTCGCAGCAGACGAGCGGTACGTCGAGGTATGAGGAGGTTGCGGCGCAGAAGGCGGAGTTGGAGGAGGTGAAGAGGGAGAATGAGGGGTTGAAGGAGAGGATTAGGGAGTTGGAGAGGTTGATTAGGGAGGGGGCTACGAGTGGGAGTGAGGAGAGGGGGAGGAGTGGGGGGCCGAAGGGTGGGGAGGGGGTGAAGGAGATGGAGAAGTGAGGTTGGGGGATTTGGGAACGAGGGAGATGGGTATGAAGTCATACTCTTCTTCTTCTTTTTTTTCATGAATGCAGTCTTCTCAACTTTCTTTTCTTTTTTCTTGGGGAGGCGTGAAGGAAGAGATACAAGTACACTTATTTACCCACTTGAATGATTAACTTTGGTATTCTCCATTACTCCACCCTTTTTTATCTAATATCAAATCTACTTTCGGGGGGGATGTCTTATCCTCCTTTTTTTGCTTTTGCTAGAGTGGGGGCTGCGCGGGTGCGGGCGCGGGAAGGGGGAGAAGGAAGCGGGAAGGATGATTTGCGCATGCATGAATGCATGAATGCATACGTATGCGCAGGCGTATCTGGAGTACAGGTGTATGCCGTCTATGTAATGCGCCGTTTGTAGCAAACGATGTGAGTAATGATAAGGATCGCAGACGCGTCTGCGTATTCCTAGTGTCGATCTATATCGTCATTTTTTTTCTAGACTCCCGTGTCTGTGTGCGTGTGTGGGGTGTTGGTGATGGTGGTGGCGTTTTCTTTTTAACACTTTTTGGTTTTTCGGGGGCTTGATGGGATGGAGGGATGGGAGGAGGGTAAAGGTGGTGTACGTCATTTTTTTCGGTGCAAAGATGATGTGGGATGGAAAGGAAGGATATATCTTGATGGTTTTTCGTATCGAGTGTTGAAGGGTATATTCTTCTTGTGAATTATTGTAAGTTTTTGTAAGTTTTTGGAAGTTTTTGGAAGTTTTGGGAGACTTGTAAATACTACGATTTGAGTGGTTTGATACTGCCAAACAAACGACTTGGACAAAGATATAGTGCACGGGATTTCGTAATACAATTCCTCGCTGAAAGATTAAGAAAAGATGGCTTGTCTATCTACTCTCCGCTCTATTTTCAAATCAAAGAAGAAGAAGAAGGCAAATCCCACCTTCTTGACAGAAAAACCCGGTATGTCTCCTTCACCCCCTCCCTTTCCTTCCATCTTCTTACCTCCATCTAACACAAGCCAGCCAACACACACGCTTCCCCCCGCCCCTCCGTCTCGACCTCAACCCAAACAAGCACCCCATCGTACAAACCACCTCTACACACAGTCCCGAGCGCCATAGTCGCAGCGACAGAAGAAGGCATGATCTCCGCATCTTTGTGCTCGGTGTCGCAATCTCCTTCTGCATCAACATCTCTTGCTTCGACATCTACACAGCCGACATCTTCACAGACGACATCAACACCGGCACCGTCTCCATTCCCCAGTTTGCCATTAGCATCGCCATCGCCATTATCGCTGTCGTCATCGCAATTATCGCCGTTTGCTCCGTCGCCGGTGTCACCAGTGTCACCAGTGTTCAAGTTGGAGGAGAGAAAAGGGGAAAAAAGGGAGAGGGAGAGTATAAACAGTACGACGACACTAACGCGAGGTGAAGAAGCTTGCGTATCGGGACATAGTAGTAGACGGACGAGTGTGAGATTCAAGGGATTGGACGTCTAGAATATTATTTTCTTTATTTTTCGTTTCATTGAAGCGTAAGCGGTCGGCGTTGGCGTTAGCAAAAAACCGGGGGCGGGCGTTCTACATATCTTCTTTACTACATCATATCCCATATAGCCAACCTGCATACTCTCACATGATACAAAAAAAACCCCCCGAAATATTCGCTTTTTGCAATCCTCCTCACAAAACCTTCCTATGTGCCTTTGAAAAGCCAGGCGGCCTTTGGACGTATACTTAAACAATTCGACGTGTCATCTTCCTATTCTCACCCAACCTCTTCGCCTTGAGCGCATCGCGTCTCTGCTTCTTCCACGCTCTGTTCAAATCACCGCGATTCTCCCAGAACCACTTTTTGAACTCGCTTTCGGGCTTTGCTGCCTCTCCGTTCTCACCATCTGCAGTGATACCCTCATCTTCCTCGGTGACGTCAGCGAGCTTACTAGCATTCGTACGCGTGTTAAGGGAAAGCTGGTGCTCGGCGTGGACATCGAGGTCGCTGTCATCTTCGTCGTCGTCCCGTTCTTGGCTGTTGCGGCGCCAGTCGAAGGAGAAGCGGCGGCCGATGGCAGCGGTGTCTGGGGTTGGGGCTGCGCTGCGGAGGCCACGCCATTCGATGTCGCGTTGGGTGTATGGGGTGATGGGGGCGTCTTCGATGGGCTGACCTGTGGCTTCTGAGGTGTCGACGTCGGCGTTGTTGTCGAAGAAGGTAAAGGATGTGTCGATTGGGTTGAGCTTTTTGGTGGGAGTTGTGATGGAGTTGTCAGTGGGCTTTGAGCGCTTGAATAGGGCTTCGAGGGGGTGAACCTCTTTTTCCGCAGGTGCTGTGGGTTGGCTCTTTTCTGGGGCTTTCTTGCTCTTGACGGCCGATGGTGCAGGTGATGCGGCTTCTGATTCTTCGGCTTCCGACTCTTCAGCCGACTCTTCCGAGTCCGAGTCTGAAGAATCCTCGTCTTCAGATGAGGATGAAACGACAGACGATTCTTCCGACTCGGATTCAGAAGAAGATTGCGGGGGCGTAACCTTCTTCTTTTTCTTCTGTTCCTTTGTGACCTTGGGCGTGGAAGATGACTTCGATGTCCCGTCGATCCATGCTTTCGCAGCTTCCGAAGGCGCATCTACCAGCTCCAGAGCTCTCCTGGCTTTCGCCTTTCCGGTCTCTGGCTCAACAACGACACCATCTTCATCCACCCATCCCAAACCATTAACATAATCCACTGCAGGTTTCTTGGAGATTACAACGTCGGGCTGCTTCAAAAAACTAGGAGTCTTGGTGTTCTTCTCAAACTCATGCACAACAACCTCTGTAGACTTTGACTTGTTCTTTTCCTTTTTCTCCTTCTTGTCCTTCTTCTTGTCCTTGAGCGCAACCTCGGTCGCAGCAACAGGAGTCAGCTTTGCCTTGAAGAGCAGCTCCGGCTCCTTGGTGTATTTGGAGTGCTTGCGCTCCTTCTTTGCCTCCTTGTCGCTCTTGTCCTTCTTATCCTTCTTCTCTTTCTTGTCCTTTTTGGTCTTGGTCACTGGCTCAGTCCAGCCACGCTTGACCTTTCTGTCGTCTGGTAATTCAACGCCCTCCAGGACCCCTTGTTCTTTCTTTTTCCGTTCCTTCTTCTCCTTTTTGTCCTTCTTTGCGCGTTTTGATGGCCGGTCAGCCTCGCCCTGAGCTTCCTTTGCGGCCTCTGCTTCTTCGCGCGCCTTGCGCTTCTCTGGCTTGGCCATTTCTATGCGCACTTTGGAGCCCTTGAGAATCGTGCCGTTGAGCTTCTTCTTAATCTTCTGTGCTTCTACCTCGGGTAGCTCCAGGTAGCCAAAGCCTTTCTCGGGAAAGGTCTCGACGGTATGGTAGGAGATGTTTTGCGCAAGGGGCAGGACCGAAGGTGCCAGGTAGACCTTGAGCAGATCGGGGCGGAAAGGCGTGATATGTAGGCGGACAGTCTTGCTTTCGGGTTGCGCTTGGGGAGAGTCAGGCGCCTGTGCGTCTGGCATTGAGGCGCAAGTTGGCGCGCGTGCGACAGGGTGTGATTTTGGAGTCGGCAGAAGGGCGCCAGGCGTTAACAAGAGGAGAGGAGGCAAGTTCTAGACCGCCGCCAATACACGTGGTGTTTGTGTGTCGGAGGTGGAGGGGAAAGGAAAATGCTTAGCGTGACATGGACCCGGTGGTCTGGCGCTAGCGTAAACGCGGGCGGATGTTTGAAGCTCCACTCGACCCGAAGATGGTCGCCATCTCGACATCACGTTACTCGGCGCACGAGAGTCAGCTTAGCCTGTGTCTTGCGCCCATTCTTTACATTATCGACGATACTCTGTTGAATCACACAACATGAGGCGCCCGCCGTATCTTCTCTTTCTCCTGCTGACCTTCCTCTCCTCCCTCTCCATTTCTCTCGCCGCCTGTAAGCCACCTTTGCTACTTGTCCAGTTATTCAAAACCAGCTAAGCTCGTCGCCAGCCCCGACGTCCTTTTGCAAGTGCACCTGTTTCGGCAACAGCACTATTGTCGCCCTCGACGCACCGTCCGTTGCTAAGAAGCCCACGAGCCATGCTGAACCCCGCGCATCCAAGAAGACGTGCAACGACTGCAACCGCCAGTTCTGCCTTGGATACAGCTTTTGCACTGGAGAAAAGGAGGAGAACGTCCTGACCACGTGTTTCCAGAGGGACTCTGCCAAGGACCAGGCCGTCGTCTTCATTTTCATCGGAGCGACACTGGGGCTGCTGGGTTGGGCTGGGCTCCGGCCATGGATTGAGGGGTGGAGAGAGGCATGTATTCGTCTGAGAACCACGCTGAACTGATGCTGACTAAACACAGCGTACGGGAGACCGGCGAAGCTACATTCCCATGGCAGGACAAGGCAATCAATAAAAGCAGAAGACCAGCCTGACATTCAAACATGCGTCATTTATGCGGCATAGATACAAAACAAGATACCCAAGTAGACCAAAGGCCCTAGAGACATGCACAAACTCCATATGCATACATCTAGTGTGACAGCAACATACAGCCTCAAAGTGTATAGTAGTACATGAAGGTCATCAAAACCCCCTCACATGGTATCCCCCGCTCTCTTTTACTCTTTCTTGGACCCTCCCGTTATCCATCCAAACCAGCCTTTGCCGGTAGCCTCGACCTTGTTGACTGCCTTCTCAGCAGCGTTGTCCAATGGTCCGCCTACTGTCTGTGTTGATGGCGCCGAGGATGTGTATGATGTGTCGTTTGCCCTAGCCTCCTGCACGGCAGCGGTAATGCCCAGATTCGAGTTTCCTTGGGCTTCTAGTCGCTTGATCTCCTCCACGGCTAGCCTTCGCTGCTCGGCAATGGATTGGTCCTCTTTCCAGTCACCGTGCAGCCACCACAGCAGCTTGGACGGTGCTTTCCGCTCCGCCTTCTTCTTCTCCATCAATTCCTGTTCTTCGGCAATACCTGCGACAAGCGCAGCCTGTGCTGGTGACGCAGTCCCGGATGCAACAGCGGAGCGGGCGGCTTCGAGGATCCTGGCCTGTGTGCGCTCTTCTTCGGCAAAGTAAATTGCGCGTTTCCGCCGGTTGTAGACAATCATGTCGCCTATTGAGAAGACGGCGAGTACGCCAACGCAACCTTTATAGAATTTTAGCAATTGATTCTGACGATTCAATGGAGCAGTGCAATTGTCTTCTGGGAACAGACATACCAGTTGCAAATATCAATCCATAAACGGTAAATCGATGCGCCGCATCCGCTGCCATTCTGCCATATAGATACATATAGTCCCACCTCGTCACTTGTGCCATCTTCGCCCTGTTCGCTGCCTCTCGTAACCGCTTGACCTTTTGCTGTGGCGTTTCATTTTTCGGCGCTGGATCAGCGAATTGTAGCGTCGTTGCACGCCCGCCGGGACGTGTGTGCGCCCATACTCCAGTGGCCGTGAAGCGGGTCGAGTCCTTTGGTGATTTGGACATTGTGTGGGCGGCGGCGGACGCACTCGAGTGTGGGAGTGGCGTGGGGTGGTGGGAGCGAGGATGCCGTCAAGACTTGCGGAGCGGGAGGTCGAATGATTCGACGATTTCCAAAAGTTGAGATGGACTAGGGTTGGATGCGGAGATTTCCGCCCTGTTCCCTGTCTCCACCCAACCAACCTACACCCATCGTGCAGCGCTACTACTTCGAACACGACAAGTTGGATTGTGCCGCGATTTTTTGGTCGTTGACTGCAACGTCTTTCAAGATAGGGCCGCCGGACAGTTCTGCAGCACAGAATGAGTGGTCTGGGCTGGAGAGTGCTTCTTTCTCTTCCTTGCCCTTGAAACAAGCGCAAGCAATACGCGCCATGCGCCATCACTCACACATTGAACCTGCACCACACCCCACACATTGAGACACTGTAGATCCATCCTAGAATTTCTCATTCAGACACTCAAGTTTGTACCGCAATCATGTCGCAAGACGGGCAACAAAATCCAGATCTTGCAGCCATCTTGGCCACGCTCGCAAGCCTGCCCAAGCCCGAGGCTCAACCGTACCAGGACCAACAAGCGTATGAACAGAATAATAGCTATCAAGGGTATCAGGATCCTCAGCAGCACTATCAGCCCGAGCCGATCCATCAATATCAACCACCAACTGACCCCCGTCTTGCTGGTCGTCCACCACCCCAGCACCGACAACCACCTCCCAAAACCCAAGACCGGGTATCATCTCCGCTCATCGACCCTTCAACCATTATAGAATGGAAGCAAGGCCTCCGCTGCGTGAGCAAAATAGCAGCACAAAATCCTGATTTTGCTCCCGCCGTTCGCAAGGTGCGACATACATTCTCTCCACCTTCTGTACTCAACGCTTACTATTTGTACTAGTTGATGAAAGACCAAGAAGCAAATGTCAAATCCTGGGAAGCCGGCCGCAAGAAACTCATCGAAGAGCAAAAGTTTCAGCGCGAAAACGAGCGCACGCATCGAGCGGCTTTGTACGCATCTTCTCTGTCTTTGTCGAACCCAAAGTCTAAACTAACGTCTCTCCAGATCACTTCCTGGCCTACTAGAAGGCACAGCACTCCTCCGGGTATAACTTCCCAATCTCCATGCTTACTCCTAACGCGCCAAACTAACCTCCCCTCAGACCCCCGAGCGCGAAAAAGAAGAACTAGATCAATACGACGCGAAAGTTTACCGCGCCTGCAAAGCAATGGTCGACTCGCAGTCTTCATCCCTCAAAGTCCTGGGAGTTCCTTTTTTCGGTGTCAAACCGTATCTTGTGCAAGGAGCGAGTTACGATCCTTTGGAAGTTGTGGATTCGCAGACGGTGACGCCAGGCGGGAGAAAGATTACCAAGGAGAGGCTTTTGGAGTTGCAGAGGAAGATGCTGAATCATCTTATGGAGTTGTATGGGGATTGAGTAAGTGAGATGGGTAGGTTGGGTTAAATTGGGGGTGGTTGGGGGGAGGGGGTATATGCTGTAGGTACAAGGATTTGACACAGAGAGGTAATTGGATCAATGTCGATTTTTGAGGTCGTCGGGCACTATTTTCTAATTCTTTATTATACATTCACTCATTGCTCGTCTTATAACCTTTTTTACCAAGAATCCATTTCCGTCCATCTACACATCCCCCAGCTTCATTCTCTTCAATCAGCAGACCGTGCCCTCCCCATCAACTCAAACGGTTCGCTATTCCCCGCATATCCCCCTTGCATCTCTACAGGCCCATGACTACTATCCCACTGGTACCCCTTTGGCCCCCGAACAGAGCCATACGCAGTGTCCATTGTAGGAGCGGATTGGCCGTCGTAGGTGTAGTCTGGGAGTTTGGCGGTCTTGTGTGCAATCAAGTGTTTCCGGCGGATGAGTAACACGCCAAGAATCGTAAGGCAGATGACAGTCAGTGCTGCGATGACGCCGCCGACAATGGCGCCGATGTTGGGGGAGTTTGAAGATGAGGAGGCGGAGACGGGTGGGGTTGAAGATGGCAAACTTGCTAGGGGAGACTGCTGTGTAGCCGTCGACGCTGACTGTGAGATTGAGCTCGTAATAGCTGATGAAGGTACTGGAGTAGAGCTGGATGCTATTGTCGTTTGAGTAGCGCTGGATGTTGATGTCGATGTCGTTGATGCTTCCACACTTTTAGGGGCTGCGAGGAGAGTGTCTGTTCCTGCTTTTGCGCCGCAAGCGATGTATTCGTACGACTGATCCGGACCGTTGAGTAGGAGAACTGTAGAACAAAACTGTTTTGGTTCACTATCAATTTGTGTTAGGATTTTTTTAGTGGTACAGCACGGCGTAGTTGCTAACCATGAGAACGTAGTAACATCCGTTCTGTCAGATAACCTGCCACATCCTGACGTGCAAGAGTGGCTGTCGACGCAAAATCCTGCCAAACCGCAGTCACTGGCTGATATTACGGTTGTTGGGCAGAATCCCCACAGCCCACGCGCAGTGTCGACTCGACACCCATAGCCTGGGTCTGCTGTTCGGGAGCTTTTAGGGTTCCCATCAAGGTATCCGCAGGTAGTAACGTGCTCAGCATTTTGGCGATTATGAAGCTGGTGGCGAGCTAGTGCGGTCGCAGAAGGTGATGATAGAGAAGTGATTCCATTGCGTATCATCGCAAGGCTGGGAGATGCAAAGTTCAAAGCACTCAAAACGACAAAGAACAGTCCAAAGATTTTAGACATGGCTTCGAACGAGTGACAGCGCGATAAAAAAATGAAGGTCAGAGAAGGGAGGACTAGAGACGTAAGGTACCTGCACACAATGCTGGTGATACATGCAGCCAAGGACCAGAACCGCGTGATGTTTGCTGTGCCGCATATCTGCAGCCACTTCGCCTTTGATGTAGCCGCCCTTGCATCAATTTGGCTATATCCAACAGGTCTATGGGTCCGTAGGTGTGTTCAGTCATCCTTATGCCATATCTTCTCGAGATACTCTACTTCGAAGAAACAAGGGGAGAACGTATGCAATGGCAGGTCTTGAGATATATCTGTCGGTTACATTGGGATTGAAAACAACATATCGTTCCTGAAGTCATTGGTGACGGATATGTCTGTTGTAGCATAATTGTTATGCAGAGCGCGTTTCATGAGATGCTTACGCGCCTGGTCCAATGTCGCTTATGTGAAGATTGTTGTGATTGGTCGAAAGGCGTGATGGCTTCTGTAATTTCCTTAAGCGCCCATTCCTTCACGACGGATGTAGCCGCCTGCCCCCACGGTCTTAGCCCTGGCAAACGCGGGATGCGGCGCGGTCGCTCTTGCTGGCCTTGTCTACTCGTTTGCCCGCAACCAGGATGCAAACCTTCAGAATGCCAGCTCCTCACCACACCAACTCCTGAACTATACTTCCGTTTTTCTTCTGGTGAAGCAACTGTCATGGCCACGCAGCGGAGCATGCGGTCGCTCCTGCAGGCCGTCGCAATGCTAGTTGTGGTCTTTGTTCTCATCACAGGAGTGGGGATTTCTCAGTATGGCGACAGTCTTCCGAGGATTAAGTTCAGCCCGTCTGGAAATTCGGATTCAAGCCTATCAGGTAGGAAATTTTCCGGTTTAGCGTATTTCTATACTTACTGAAATTTACAGCGAAACCTGAAGAAGCCTCTAAAGATCAACCGACACATCCGCCGGACTCGACACCACCTTCCTCGTCACCCTCAACAAAAGGCAATGCCACTCTACGAGCACAAGCGCCACCATATGTCCGCGCAATTATGGATCCGGCTGACGTGACATTCCCACGCCTGGAGTGTCCACAGCCAAACCTCGAGCGCTATAATTACCTAGGGCGCGCGTCGGAACCCACAATCCATGCGCAACTCCCAAGGTACTTCTTTGCACTCGACTTGCATCAATGCGTTGATCTCCTTCCACGACTCATTGGCTCAATTTTAGAAACCATACTCTTTCTTGGTCCACCAAACTGTGTATTGTCCATAGTAGAGGGGAGATCGGATGATGGTACTTTTGAAGTGCTTGATGAGCTACGTTCCAACCTGGAACTGCTAGGAATCAAATACCACCTACAGACAAGCGATGTGAACCCAACGGCAGAAGGAACGGATCGCATTGAAGCGCTTGCAGAGCTTCGAAACCTCGCGCTCAAAGATCTCATCGAACACCCAGAGCATTACGACAAGGACACCACCGTCATATTCTCCAATGACATTTCGCTTTGTATGGAGGACTTTTTGGAGTTGATCCATCAGCGCAAATTCCAGGGAGCCGACCAGACCTGTGCCATGGATTGGACGTATGTTGGCGACAACCCGACTTTTTATGATGTTTGGATTGCTCGCGGCATGACTGGTGACTTGTTCTTCAGAATTCCCGAAGACGGCAGCTGGGATTTTGCATGGGATCTATTCTGGAACGACCAAAAGTCAAAGTCGCGACTTTCTACCTGGAAACCTTTTCAGGTGTTCTCGTGCTGGAACGGCGTGACTGCGTTCACTGCAAAACCAATCATGGAGAAGAAGATCAAATTTCGGGCGCATATGGAGGGAGAGTGTTTTCAGGGAGAGCCGAAGCTATTTGCCAAGGACATGTGGTTTCACGGCTATGGTAAGATCGCTGTGGTACCAAGTATTAATGTGGAGTATAGTGACGAGGCGTCGAAGAAAATTAAGGCGCTGAAGGGATATACTTCTAGTCATGTTGAGAATGAAGGCGATGATATCAAAATTAATTGGGAAACTTCACCGCCGGAACAGGTGAAGTGTATGCCTGAGCATCAGCACCAGTCATTCAAGCCCTGGGATGAGGGACTACGGTCCGAGGGTTCACCGTAGAAGACTTAATACAGGATTCTTTTCCGTAAAGCGAAAATAAATAAACAAAATAAAATTCTTTTTCAGTTAACTCAAGCATGTATGCCGTTATCGGAATAATGGTGTGTTTGGAACTGGAGGTTATTCTTCTTAATGATCTGATTACCCTATCCGTCTACATCACCTCATGCATATGCGTACGTGAGAAGCCCGCTATCCGATACATGCACGTCCTAGAACTTCCTTTGATCCAGTCCTATAAGCGCCCTCGATGCTCTAGTTTCCCTAAGCCAGCATTCCGTTTGTATCCCTATATGAGTCGACTCCGCATTAAAGATCCTTCGGGCCGGCCACAACTGATTGGACAAGTAGCCCAAAATACCATCGTCACTCGTGCTCGAAAATCCCATAGGTAATAAAAGTAGCTAGAACAAGCGGATCGACTGGCAAAACCCAGAGTCTCCATGTACCGGGAAAGTCAAACAAATCTACAATACCGACACTGAAAAAACAAAAACAAATTGTCGCACTCTTTTTTGTTTACGTATCCGCATCAATGTGCTTTTTCCTGCATCTTTTATCAATCTCGAATTTGCCAGCGCAACTCCGTCGTCTTCGCCTGCACGCTGCAACCTCGCAAATCCTTTCAAAGAAAAAAAAACCCCCCCACCCCAAGCACCTTAACCCCCATTCCCGGGAAATGACCACTTTATCCCCCACCGGAAATACCCAAATCGGGCATCCCGGAAAGCTTCCCCCCCTCCGACACACAACAAACTCTAGACTTTCCGGGGGAAACGGGTGTGTTATGCGGGGTAGTGTCAATGATCTCCCCTCCCCAGTAACCCCGCAAATTAGCTAGATAGTATGCATGGATTACAGCTATGGACCGCGTAGTGCAATCGCGTGTGGCGTAGCCTTTCCTCTCCACCCCCGGAGCGATTCCGCTAGTAAGACTGCTGCAAGTCAAGTTGATGACGTTTGTCTGCCGGTTTGGGGGGGGATCTTGCGGGCAACCGGCTGGAAGGGATACTAGGTCGGATCGACGGGGGGGTCTTGACATGTTGCATGAGGGCAAGCGGGTAAGGCCTGGTTATCGGGCGAGAGAT